GTAGCAGCGCGTATACATTCACATAAACATGCTCAAAATAGTTTAACAGAGAGTTCATTAAGTAGAGTGTTGAACATTATCACAGGATCAACACTCAATCATAAAATCAAAATAAATACACAACTTAGCTTGGACCATACGGTATTATGCAAGCAGTTTGCCGATATGTATTTTCATCTGTGTAAATAGGCAATTAAAATACATCATATAAATCCATGTGAGTGTCCACAAGTACACAACAAACCTACAGTCCAATATACACAGCCAAATGCCAACCCCTCATTTCCTTGGTGAGTGACACATGTGGATGGAAAAACTTTAAAACTTCTCTTGCCTGAAATCTCAAACTAAGATGCAGTGATATCAAAAGTTCTAGAAATAATACGCTTACTAGGTTAAATTCAAATTGACTATTGACCCAGTGCGCCATAGTAGCGCTACAACAAAGTGGCTTGCTGGCAAGTAGGGTGCTGAAAATGTTCAATATAACATAGACTTACATCAGCATTGTTTTTTTTGTCAGCTTTTCTTCAAATAAGCTAAATGATGTGGTACAAACTGCCAATCTGCAGCAACATAAAGCTTAACTTATGTGCTGGCAATCTGTTTCTTGACAAAGAAGCCGAGCTGACCAACATCTCCTGTGGCTAATATACTTACTACTGACAAGTACTTCATACAACCACACTGCAAAACTACATAATTATCCCTTTAAATTGGCTGTATGTGTTCTCAGTATTTATCTTAAGTGGAACTATAAGTATTTCTAATACTATTTCTAAGTGAATGCTTTATAATAAAGTAATGATGCAGTCAACATGAGACTGAACTTCATCTTGCATCACTTCGACTCCCTGGGGACCTATGCTAGGATCCTGTTTGTGGCTCGGCGTTCAACACCATCATCCCAGATGTCCTCCACCAGAAACTCACCCAGCTCACAGTTCTGGCCTCCACCTGTCAGTGTATCACCAAATTCCTGACTGACAGGAGGCAGCAGGTGAGGCTGTGGAGCATCACATCCAGCACCCAGACAATCAGTGCCGGCGCTCCCCAGGGGTGTGTTCTCTCCCCACTGCTCTTCTCCCTAACGACTTGGTGGATTTTGATTCTGAAGACCCTCAGAGAACATTAAAGCTGATTATTATATTATAAGTCACGTCAAGTCAAAGTTTACTCAAAGATGTGTGTTTTAAGCAGTGGTTTAAAAGTTTCAGTGAATGTAACGGTTCTGATATTCACAGGTGAACTGTTCCACAAGTTAGGAACAGCTGCCAACATAGTGGAACATCCAAAAGCATCTGGTGAGTTGACCACATTGCTCTGACTGGATCATGCTAGTAATCTAAATGACATGTTTATAACGTGTGAGGAAACAGTATATTGTTTTGAGTTCATACACTTAATTACATCAGAGTATAAAACTTTATACTACAACTGTGTTACATCAAAATAAAATGTAGTATTTAGGGTATAATGTCATATGTTTGAGCTCAAAGGACTATCTATGTATCCCAGATGACCTCAGTGCATCTGTGTGAATAAATGATTCATTCTCCTGCTCTCTGCCAGTGCATGGGCCCTCCTCCCTCGTGGCCCCTCACTATTCATTCCTGTCGACAGAATGATGTAGCCACATGGGGCCAAAGTGCTGACTCCATCCCCTGACATCCTCCTCACTCAGGACCTTTGACCCGTTACAAGAGAGGATGTCTCCCTGGACAGAGATTTTCCTGCTGTTTGACGGCTGTGTGGCAAAAAAAGCCGCCTGGCCCTGTTGACACGGGCATTATGAGGGACAATGAGGGGACAGACTGGGAGCCCCCCCCCCCCTTGGAAATCAACACTTCCTGTCACTAGATGAATGTATCAGAAAAATCACCATATCATTCGTATGATTCGTATGATGGTTATCTTCTCAAGCTGTTTTTTTTTTCGCCTTTCACCAAAATAAAATAACTTTTTAACTTTGTTGGCTGATAGTTTAATGAATTAATTGCATAGATTAATCATTCATTCAGAGAGAGATTTGTGTTTCCTAAGTCCTTTTCGAATATGAACTCCGAACAATTACAAGATCATTTCTAGAAATTAAGGTCCTGACACTATTTGGACTTTTCCCTTTTAGATATGTTCCACACAGCAGGGAATTGTCTGTTTTGGATCTGTTCTCTCTTCTGGTAATACTCCAATGGTTTAGGTAAGGGGGCATACTGGGTAAAGTTTTTTTGAGAAAGAGGAATTTTCCGTTACTGTAACTGAAGTATACACAATTTAACCCTAGAATACTAACTAACAGTTTTGTAACACCATCACTAATGTAATGTATATTTTACCCGATAGAATATACCCAACAAAACATACTTCACATCAAAATGTATTAAAGTACAATAATACATGGCACATTTAAGTTATTTTATTTCCCCCTATTCAAAGTCCAATAAAACAAAAAATAAGTTATCATGGGGGGACCCTATAACAGGTCTCTAAAATTAATGAAAAATTAGGGAATCGTTAATGAAAATTTCCTAAAAAAATAAATAATGGTCCACTTGTTCCTGGGACAAGTGAGCCTTGTCTGGTGAAGTATTACGTCTCTCACTGCATTACTGACAAGTGTGGGAAATATTTACTCACTATCACTAACGTCGGGTGAAAATCATGGGAACAGGTGCCTGTTGAAAATAAACCAGGGATTGGAGCAGGGAAACATGCCTACCTTCAATGAAGTCAAGGGTCAGCCTGAACCTACCCAAAGACCCACACAACTCAGACAGCAGCAACACAATGACATTCACCTGACCACAGTCGCATGGGTGAAAATAACATTAGTGTTCTCAGGTTAAACGCAATAGTGGAAAAGCAACTTCTGGAAAATTGATGAGAGCATTAAATAAAATAAAACTTAATGCCCACGTCACGCAAAACGACACCTCCAGCAGGAAAACTGCGTCAAGTTCAAGCAGATTGGCATTTTGACATGCAGCCTACATGAATAATGTCTGGGTTATTGACTCTTTTACACCAGCTGAACATGACCCTATTGTTTATATTTGAGCAGTTATAAGTTCAGAGCTTTAGCACAAGAAGGGCAAAGGTTGAAAACTGGATGAATACTTTATAATCATATAAATGATTATATTATAAATATATCCTACGGATAATTCCTCTTCATTTTTCTTGGTTGACTTTCATTGACAAATTTTGGTTTTCACAGCAATAATTCATGATTTGCAAGGCAACAAGAGTGAATGGTTTTAATCGGGGTCCCCTTAGGGAGATTTCCTACTGTCATTGAAAAATGTGCACATTTTGGGTCACTGCTGTGGTTTACAGACCTACTGGTCTGGGGTCCCCAAGCAGTTGCCTGCGCTACCTGTTGACAAGCAGCGCTTCTGGGAATGCTGATACAACACACTGATCCTTTGATTTGTTAAGGCAGCAAAACATTCATAATAATGTCTCATTGTTCCATTATTCAAAGTAGATTTGTGCCAGTGTGTGATGACACCCAAAATACTCTCTGAAGTCTGATTCAGACTGATTCATGGGCAATCTTCAAGAAAAGAACAGAGGAGAAATGACTTCTTCAAATAAATCAGTGCAGCAGGAACAAAAGCTATGTTGTATGTATAACAGTGACAGAATTCAGAAATATTTATACTGATTGGATGCTTTGTCTCTGTGTGTTATGCGTGGGTGTCCCTCGGGTGCTGCAGTTTTGTGAGTGACTATGTCTGTGTGTTAGTGGAATAGGAACCTGTGCGAAGTGCTTCAAAGTATTTTCTAGCAGCGTAGAGATTGAAGCTCCCCTGTGACTCTCAGTGGAAAAAAGTGTGAATGGAAAAAAAAAAGGTTATTCACTGATTAAGATGTATGGAAATCCTCTTTGGATTTTAAAAAGAAATGAAACTATCTTGCTAAACAAGTTCACAGTGATACATTTCAGTCCTGTAAAATCCATGTTTCTTTTATGTTTTTAAACGTGCAATATGTTTATCGCTTTAAAAAAAACCCTACTGTACTTCAGAAAACCTTTGTGGACCGAGCAAACCTAACATCTAAAGAACAACACCAATAAGAAATCTCCTACAGATGATATCAAGTGCATGTAAAGTTGATGCCTGTGATGCATCTTTTTTCAACATCAAATGATACATTATGCATCGCACATTTATTTAATACTATCCCCTTAATCCCTGCTGTTTGTATATGCTATTTACACGAGAAAATGATGCTAATGTAATCCTGTCTCCTGGAGATATGTTTGTTTAAGATTTTGTTGCCAGAAATATTTTTCTTAGAGCCTAGATTTAATTAAGTGGAAAGATTTGTTTATTGAATTGAATTAAATGCTGTTTGTATCAAGCCATTTGTTTTTAAGGGTAGGGAAAGGTCAGTTTCAAGAAAAGTCAAAATGTCATGTCTTGTGTTTAAGAACACTTCTTTTTTGTGCCATGTGTGTCCCTAACATTAAAATGCTTTGATTTATCTGGGGATTAGCACTAAATCAGAGGCCAATTTTCAACAAGAAATATCGACAATAATTTTCTCTTCTTTCACATGGTGCGGCTGTGGATCAGTTGGTAGAGTTGTCATCTCTAGGTTCGATCACCAGCTCCTGTACATGACACTCAACCATGCATGTGAATGGGATGAGTTACTTCTGGGTGTGACACTGATATGGCAGTAAAAGCTCTTTGAGTAGTCAGAAAACTAGAAAAGTGCTATACGAGCTCAAGTCCATTTACCATGGAGTCTGTATAAACACTTGTTTTTTTAGTTGTTGTTTTGAGACTTTCCAGCAGTTAAGTCCGTGAATTTAATTCAATCATGCAAATTGACTGTGTTACAGACAGTCAAAAATACATTGCAAAATAGGTAAACTTACATCAGTCAATTTAAAAACACTTTCCATTCATTTGTCACCGTTAACTGGTATGGTTTTCCTTTCTGCGCATGTCCTTAGTGGTCCATACGCACACCGGGGGCTGAGAGAGAGAGAGAGGGAGAGAGAGAGAGAGAGAGAGAGAGAGAGAGTTAACAGGGGATCCATGGAGCGTGTCACAGTACAAGTGTTTTCTATGTCTTCTTGTCCACGATGCACTTTAGGATTGCAATAAGATGCGTGTGTGTTTCCAGATAATCAGTTTCTTCCTCTCAGTAAACTTTTACTCCCAGCCGCTCCGAGCTCAGGGTGAGTAGTCTGTTTCCATGATTCCAACTTCAGAACTGTTCGTCTACCTCACTCTGTGTCCGCTTTCATGCAGTGCTACACTTTTTAAAAAGACAGAAAAGTGAACAGCTTAAGCCTGAATGCCTCTGTTTTGTACGCTTAAAGTTTGGACTAACTTGTTGATTTAGTGACAGCTGGCATCCTGTAGGTACGATAGATTTCGCTCTCATGTTGTGAGGACATCAAGCCAAACTCCACTCAAAACTCTTGGAATTCAATATTCATTTTACTATCAGTGAACGTATCCCCATCGCAGATAATTTATTCAAATGTTTCTGCAATCATTTAAGTCCTTAAGTCAATTCGGGCCACAAAATGTCCAGCAGCCAGTTATTGTATCCAATAAATCATATACATTTGAAGTAGTTTACAACGCTAGCTACCGCCCACCACAGAGTGTCTACGTTAGGTGTGACAGGACTGTGGGAATAACGGGGAAAAGAAACATTGTTAAACTTCTAATGTATCGCCATTGGTTTATTTATTGCACGCCGAATTAAAGACTTCATCCTTGACATTCATTTAAGGTTTCTAGTGTTTATTGTTGTGGTTTTTCCTTTGTTGAAAAACACAGCAATACGTCAGTATAGCAATGACGCTGTGTCTGTCGCTCGACGTATGGGGTTAACATCCTGTGTAACAAAAAACATGTTTGAATGAGCCTTTGAGAAGTTTGAAGTATGGCCTAGTGAATATAAAGTCCAGCCTTTCGGCTTCTGTCGTTGTTATTTGGATAGCAAGGAAAAAGAGCTCGTATAGAGATTTGAGGAGAAAAAAAAAAAAGTAAAAGGGACCGTTACCTCTTAGGACCAACCTCATGTAAAGATGTTTTACAAATAACACAAGAGTCTTAAAAAGTAAAGCGCTACTATGAACAACTTAAAATACATTTTAGGAATCAGCAGACTATTATGCATTTCGGCATAGCCTGCATTTTATAGCCCACTTTAATAATGACGCATTCACTCGCATTAGATACCAGGTAGCCTGTGAAGGTGTGTGTCTAGGCTGCAAAGAACTACAGAGAAAACCTGGGAAGTAAAACTGCTTCTCCTTTTAAATAAAATCTAGTCGCTAAAAGAAAGAGCTAAACGTGTGTGAATTGCGACGTGTTTACTTTGAGGCTGCAAATGAATTCACTTGGACTTGTTAAGCGACTCGGACAAACACAGAGGTGTGTTGGTGCTGTTGTAGGACAACTAGCCTTGGAGTTGCTTTCACTTGTTAATTGACTGAGGCGACACGGAGTTGCCACATTCTTCAGCCTTTTGGCTAGGTGTCTTCTCAATAGACCTTCAGCAGTTGTTACTCATTGCTATCATTTTGGTAAGCGTGTATTCAAACGTCCTATAGCGAGTGTTTAAATGGGCTCCATGGGCAGGGTTGTAAATTGGTCTAACATGCTGTTGGGTAGCTCTTTGATCTTCAGTCCACATGGGTGCAGGATGTGGATTTGCTCTGGTTAAATATCACTTTGTACAGATTTTTTTTCTGACACATCTGCCAGGAACATGAAAGGAACAAAGCTCTTAGATCCTCTTTCGGGGTGCACATTGTCTCCGAAAGGCTTGCGACAGTATTAAAGGTCTCAAAAAAAAAAAAAAAAACATGTAATGTAGCACCATGCGGCAAAGTGATCAGACAGTAGTGCCCTAAGGAAGAATACGGCTCTTTCTACAACTTCCTCCCACTATTTTGCGTAGGAATTCCATAAATTTTTTTCCTCTACAGAGTTTTGCTAAGTTCTCCCCTTCACTTCTTTCATGTTGCGATTTGGTTATGGAGGCTAGCCGTGAGAGAATGCATCTGGAACCAATTTGACTCCTCAAAGCAGAGGGGCAAGAGGAGGGGAAGTAGGGAAGTGAACGGCAGCCCTCGTCTCTCCATGTCCACTCGGAGCAGGAATGGGCCTGAGTCCCGCAAACTTAATTATAGTTTTGTGAACACAAGATTAAAGTGTAGTACACCCATTTGAATTTCTTGGCCATCCTTTGGTATAGTGATTGTTGAAGTAACTATGAAATATAGGCCTACAGTTTTTTCCAACCAGCAACCCGTTACCCTTGTTTTGTCAAAGCTAAATATATAAAAAGTGAAATACACACAGTGAAATTACAAAGAGTTAGGGTCAGTTCCTTGGTCGAAAACGTCTCATTATGGTCAATTGGGTTCTATTTGGAACTGGAAGGTTTCAGGATATTCTAGTACAACAGGGAATTTTGCTTAGACTGGGGCTGCTGACCCGCTGCGCTCCCTGGAGACACTGAGTTCAAAGTACTTTGCTATCGAAGGCAGCATCAGCAGTCTCGTCATAGTTGAGGTTTACACATGCTAGTAAACAGCACGCAGCAGACGTTTTCAGGACAACAGGAAGACAGGGTGCATGTAGCTGCACATTGTTCAGGCTACATCATATCCAGGTGCAGTTGTAAGGCACAAGCCAACTGCCTGCAACAATCAGTTTAAGATATACTTTACGCAGCTCATTAGTCCTCAACAATTGTGTAACCAGTTCTTATTCAATAAAAGTGATGTTAACTGTTGCATATCTGAATACGCTTGGGGGTTTACTGATAACATTTTGGAATCACAACAGACAAACTCTGCTTTTTACGATTAGCTCCACATTAAGCAGATAAAGTTTTTGTTTTCCTACAATCAAGCACTCTGTCCAGGAAAATAAATCTACTCACACAAAGAGTTTTTCCAAATAAGCCACAAGTCCATGATATTCATTCAGTTCAATTCGATTTATGTAAATTATTTTGGCTTATCAGTCACTCCCTGCTAAGTGCTAAGACTAGCTCTTTAACTCAGTAAATGCCAAAAAGGCCAACAAGAAATTCAGCCATTCCCACAGATGACTGGAGTAGATCCTGAAGTATGTATTCATTCAAAAATAGACTTTGAATCATGAATCCAGAATAGTTTTGAACCGAATCGTGACCCCAAGAATCAAAATCGAATTGTGAGACACCCAAAGATTCCCAGCCCTAATATTCATAAAACTGCTTGGTGCTTGAATGTGTAGGGGGTAAAGACAGCTTATTGAGAATGATGACAGTGAGGATCAGGGTCTGTGTGTCAGTATAATGTGAGGAAGACTCAAAGCTTTATCGTTGTCATTGTTCTTGTCAACTTGTCAATTGTCAACCTCAACTGTATGCCCCACTGATGTAGTTTTGTTGCTTCCTATCTGGCTGAGTAAAAAGAGACAAAGAGCTCTTTTTATTTTTCACATTTTCAGACTGTAATGACATGTTATACCTTTGTTACCCTCAGTCAGTAGACAGAGATGCTTGCACTGTAGTCTGACTATTAAAGCTGAAATACATCAAGGACTATTTTCCCTGAAGTCCTAAAAGTGTAGGGACGTCTTTGCCCTTCAGCTATTTATTTTATTAGATATGAGGAAGATGTTCCAGCATAACATCCTCAGCTAATTTCCTGAAAGTCTTCTTTCACTGCATTTATTGTATTTTATATATCCTATTTATTGCTCGTTCTCTCTGATAAATGAATTGTTTGGAAATTGAGTTCCCACGAGTAGGAATTCAATTAAGCAGGAGCTGTATCTGTAGGGGAAGGGAGACCCTAAAAAAACAAAATAGATAACATATAGTCCGTCTATAAGTTTATTGTTTGGAGACTTGGAAATTAAAACTAACAGGAAGTGAAGAAAGAAGGATCCCGCTATCTTTTTTTAAATTTTTTAATTAGATTCTGTCTTGTTTTTGTTTCACTGCATACCCCATGGTATCAAAACAAAGCCTTGTTTGGTTTGTAGAAAATATAGAAAGGTTATAGTTTGGAGCCACTGTTCTTTGTTTTAGATGCTATTGAGTGTGAGAGCCAGCCCCATATAGTATTTAGTCTGCAGCAAGTCTGAGTGAGATGATGTGAGAATGCAGCAGGATATTCTCCGGAGAATTCACCTCCAGTCAATAGCCTGGTCGGCACCAGAATTAGTCAGTTGAACAAATTAAATATTTTTATGTGTTGGCCCTCTATGCCGGTTAAATTGAATGCTCAAACTGTAACCCCCAATTCACACATACTCCGTGCACACCGCGGTCCGTCAGCGCCGCGCACTACGCCGTACTTGGCTGCCACTCTAGTCAATCATTTGTTCACACAGGGCGCACTGCGGTCCGTCTCCGTGCCACCAATGGCACTACGTCTCTGCTCCGTTTCAGATACGCAGCGAGTCTATTTTCGCCGGAGTACGCTGCAGGCACGTGTCAAGCTGGACAGAATATGACAGCCCGGACAGGAAGTCAGACAAGGAAACGCTCAGAGCATCCGCTCAATTTCAAAATAAAACACAATATACGGACTCGCGATCGTATTTTTCATCACTTTATCAACATTACGTCAAAACAGGAACTGAGTTAACAACAATGCATCTTCAGAAAGACAAAGCAACATGTTGTTTGCATGTTTTTCTCTTAAATCCCGCGGGATCTTGTAGTTCTCCTGTGATGTGTCAGAAACGGATCCGGTGTGAATGGGCGCGAGCCGTCCGACAGAGCAAAACCGTGGCGCTGAGGGACCTTGGCACGCACGGAGTATGTGTGAATTGGGGGTCACGCCGCGCAAGCTCTGGTTAGTTGGCCTGCTCTCCATTCTCTACCACCCGGATGTAAACAAGCACAGTAGGAGCAGTGCGGTTTGGCTGTATTTTGGTCTAGAAAATTGAGATAAAAATGTAAGTATGGCTGTGTCAGGTTAAATTGGTATATCGACCAGTGCAATGTGTAATTAGCACAAGAATGTGGACGTCAACATTAAATGAGAACTGAAGGCTGGTGGGGCAAGCCACTGTCAGTCAGAACATTAGCAACAGCAAACACCATCAGGTTGTTTACCAGAAGACACTTTTATATAAATTGTGCTAAATGTTGACTGTTTTCTTAACTTTAGACTGGTCGGTTAATCTGAGTTTAAGGTACAGTTTAATA